GTGTATTCCTCAATGGGATATGGTCATGCCACAATCCCTTCTCCTCCATTTCTCCACCCCATCAGGATTTCGAGCATGCATGCACATGTACCCAGCATGTTTTTCAAGCTACCAATAGGCCAGGATTTGAAATACGGTCAGCCATGTGGGATCTGACTCCCTTAACCACCAGACCACATGTCTGGCCCAGATTTTTCCCTCCTTAACTATCCTTTCTGCAGTTCTTCTCTAGTAGTCCAATATAGTATAGTTTAGTGTGGGGGCCAGAGATATGCTAATTGACCAGGAGGGATACAAAGAAGCCAGCTTGTGCTGTAAGTTATAAGTGCTTAGGTAAGTCTACTGGCTACCACAAAGAATTTTTTTAAACTTAAGTTCAACAAATAAAGAATGTTTTTTAGGTAGGACTATGAATTTTTTTTGGTAGTAGTCAATAATAAGCAAGCTTCACATAGTTGGGGGGTTTTCTTAGGTTTTCATTTGTATATTTTAATTTCTGTTGGAGTCAAGATTCCAATGCATGAAAAAGAGTGCTTCATTTTTGGTTAAAAGCAAATATCCATTATAAGTTGTATGATATACAATATTTAATGATGTATTTACTGTATGTATATCTTTCTCAAATCATAGATGAATTACTGACTTACAATAATAAAAAATAATCGGAAAATAATAATCAGAATACAAAAATTAACTGTGCACATATATATATATAAATAAATGAGATCATTCTATAACAATGTATCATATGCTTTTTTTTCACTTAACTATATATCATATACTTCTACATCATTGTTTACATTGAAAGAGGAAATTGTTGGATATAAAGACAGGCCATATATCTCCTTGGAATGTAAACTCTGGCCTTATCAACCTATGGAAAGCTGTACTTTCTTCTCTGAACTCCAGACTCAAATATACAACTGCCAGTTCCCCTTTCTACCTGGATGTCTAATAGACAACTTAGACTTAAAATGTCCCAAATTGAATTACTAATCTTCCCAAATCAGTTTCAACTATAGTTTTCCATATTTAGCTGATGAAAAATACATCCTTCCAGTTGTAACTCTGTCTTTTCAGTTTTTCAGACCAAAATCCTTAGAATTATCTTTGATTTTTGATTGTCTTATACTCTATATTTAATATATCAGGATATCCTTTTAGATTTAAAACTTACAAAATATATCCAGATTTTATACAGTTAAATCCAAGGAATAATGGTCCCTAGTGTTAAATGGGAACACAAGCCTGCCTCCCATTCCACTATAGTATTTGGTCATCTAAGCCTTTCCCATCTCCCCCTATTCTCCTTACTCCACTCTTCCCATACCTCCTTTACCTTTCCATTTTAAGCAGCAGCTTTCTACCACTTTTATTTTCAATGATGAAAATTCAGGAAGGAGCATAATTTGCAAAGCATTTTCATACACATTTATCTTATTTAAAGTTTAAAGCAGTCCTTAGGAGATTGTTCTAGTTACTATTACTGATTTTTTTAAAAAATGGCCCAAACTTCGCAGCTTGAAGCAACTATGTTATCATACTCATGAATTCAGTGTGTCAGCGAATCAGACAGGGCACAGTGAGAAAGGTGGCTTATCTCTGCTCCATCTAAAAAGAATCAAAGTTTTGAGGATGACTCAGCAGCTAGGGGCTAGAATCATCTGAAGGCTTATTCATTAAATATGTCTAATAGCTCATCCCTGGACTGGGATGACATAAGACTACATATGTGATTTGGCTTCTTCATAGCCTGACAACCTCAGCACAGTCAAACTTCTTACAAGCTTCAGGCACAGGACTCTAAGTGCATGTATTCCTGTAAATCAGGTGAAAGCTGCATTCTATGTTATGACCCAGCTTTACATTTCTCATAGCATCACTTACGTCGGTTGATGCCATCACAAGCTCTCTCTTATTCAAGGGAAGTAGACATTACTACTTGGTGAGAGAGTGTCAAAGTCACCTTGTAACGAGCGTGTAGGATTTAAAAACTATCTTCTGTCAGGACCAGCAGTTGTTGTAATGGCTACGTCATGGACTCCGATGTAGTCAACTGCAGTTCAAGTCCCAGACCCGGTGGCTTAAACTCATACCAGGTTCATGTGCGTACATGCTCAAGATCCCTGGAGGAGAAGGGATTGCGGCATGGCCATTCCCCCTGGGGGATGATTTCTCGCTTTCTGTCTCTCTCTGTCTTTCTAGCGAGCGCACACGCCCTATAGCAAAAACCTCTAAAAAAAAACAAAAAGCTC